ATAAGGATGGGGGAAGCTGGTGAAATTTTTTTTTTAGAAATTGCTGTATCTTCCATACCCCTCATTCAAACTCATTCAATTTGGGTTTATTTGGAAGAGAATTTCATTGTTATTAAGAACACCACTTCATTCGAGGTCGATAGTTCCCACCGCGTCTTCTAGAGGGCGCTGTTTATTCGAGATCCAGTTTTTTCTAATTTTCATGAAAAATCCAAATGGCATAATATTATTTTTGTATTGCTGTGCTTAAAGAGCAAAAATATATCTACATTTTGGCGAAAACCGCAATTCAATATCTGCATTCGTTTTCAAGTTACGTAAAGTCTATGGTCTCCATAATATCGTACCTGGCCGACCTTAGTGGGACACCCTGTATAAACTGAATTTTTAGAATTTCTTAGAATTTTTCCGAATTATGAGCATTTTTTTGCATTTTTTAGTATTCTCTAGCATTTTCTAGCATTTTCTAGCAATTTCTAAAATTATTTAGTTGTAAAAATACACATTAGTTTCTTCGTAATTAAATGTATTTTTTCCGAATTTGAATTCACTTTTTCCGAATTTGAATTTACATTTTCCGAATTTCACCATTTCAACCTCAATTTCGGTAAAAGTAACTTTTATTTAGGAAAATGTACCTAAATTCATTTTCGGTAAAAGTCAAATCAATTTCAGAAAAAGTAAAGTTAATTTCGGAAAAATTAAACTGACTTTTTCCGAAAATGAATTTATGTACATTTTCCTAAATAAAAGTTACTTTTTCCGAAATTGAGGTTGAAATGGTGTAGAATTTTTTAGAAATAATTCAGAATTTTTATCTATTGCGCATGCTCAATTTTTTAGAATTTTTAGAATTTTTTGGGACAATAATAATATGAAAATTAGCATTTTTCAGAATTTTAGAATTTTTGGTGTACAAAATTAGGTAGGTGGATTCCCCCTCGGTTAATTATTAATTGAGTTAGAGATTTTTTTTATTATTAGGGGACTACTAACTTTCATAAACCTAGCAATCCCTTAGTTTTTTTTGATTCGGGATCTATTACCTAAAAAGCACCTAATTATTATATAGATCCCGAAGTTTTTTTGCCATTCTGACACACCAACAAGTAGACGTAAAGCCAGCAGTCCCCTAATAATTAAAAAAATATCTGTAACTCAGTTAATAATTAATCAATTCTATTTTTTCTTCGACTATTTAGGAGCACCTAAAAAGCACCTCATTCTGATACAAAAGAAAATGTTGGAAAAATATTTTTCTATAGGGGACTACTAGCTTTCATAAACCTAACAATCCCTTAGTTTTTTTTGATTTTCTCAAAAACTAGAGGAGCACCTAATTTTTAATTAGAGGCCCTAATTAGCACCTAAAAAGCACCTAATTATTATATAGATCCCGAAGTTTTTTTGCCATTCTGACACAACAACAAGTAGACGTAAAGCCAGCAGTTCCCTAATAATTAAAAAAATATCTGTAACTCAGTTAATAATTAATCAATTCTATTTTTTCTTCGACTATTTGGGAGCACCTAAAAAGCACCTAATTCTGATACAAAAGAAAATTTTGGAAAAATATTTTTTACTATAGGGGACTACTAGATTTCATGAACCTAACAATCCCTTAGTTTTTTTTGATTTTCTCAAAAACTAGAGGAGCACCTAATTTTTAATTAGAGGCCCTAATTAGCACCTAGAAAGCACCTAATTATTATATAGATCCCGAATCCCGAAGTTTTTTTCCATTCTGACACACCAACAAGTAGACGTAAAGGCAGCAGTCCCCTTATAATTAAAAAAATATCTGTAACTCAGTTAATAAACAATCAATTCTATTTTGTCTTCGACTATTTAGGAGTACCTGAAAAGCACCTAATTCTGATACAAAAGAAAATTTTAGAAAAATATTTTTTACTGACTACTAGCTTTCATAAACCTAATAATCCCTTAGTTTTTTTTGATTTTTTCAAAAACTAGAGGAGCACCTAATTTTTAACTAGAGGCCCTAATTAGCACCTAAAAAGCACCTAATTATTATATAGATCCCGAAGTTTTTTTTCCATTCTGACACACCATCACCAACATGTAAATGTAAGGCCAGCCATCCCCTAATGATTCAATGAAAAAATTTGAAAAAATATTTTTTACTATAGGGCAGGGTTGCATTGATTTAAATCACCTGATTTAAATCAGTGATCAAATTAATATTATATTTTAATCGCATGATTTAAATCGCGATTTTGTAATTTGGTGATCTATAAAAAATATCAGTAAGCATTAAATCAAAATGCAACTAATTGAATTTATCTACGCTACTGAAAAATGGGATATTTTAAATTTATCTTCGCAACTGAAACAGACGTCACACCGCCGGACCTTGGGTGAGCAGCTGTTAACAGCCAGTGGCATTCTTAGCACAGGCCGCACCATACCTTTATCTTTGTCTTTCTTTTGTCCCTAAAAGGGATGGAGATACACTCGTTTGCTGCACCAGTTTAATTATACGGAAATGCTATTTGATTTGATCTTTCTGGGAATCCCTCTAATCTTCGTCTGTCGTTTTATCTATTTATTAATAAAAAGTGGACGTTTTTGGTGGGGTTTGATGGAAAGTAAATGAGGCGCGTAAAAAAACTTTATTTCATGATGGTTTGTACTTACGTCATCATTTGCCTTCTTTTTAAACAAATAATAAATGACCGAAATAAATTAATGACGTCGGAAACATTCGTACGTTAAACTAGCACCTTATCGATCTATGACAAACTAAACCCTTTTTTCGAAGTTATGACGTCATCAATGACGGACAAACCTTCATGCAAGGAACTATATGTTTATTTGAAATAACACGTATAAAAAAACTTATTTGTTTGAAAAAGAAGGCAAATGATGACGTAAGTACAAACCCTCGGGAAACAAAGTATTTTTCACGTGCGTCATTAACTTTCCATCAAACCCACCAAAAAAAATAGTGCTATAGCAATGAATTTTGTGTTTAGGGTGTTGTTGTATGATAAATAAAAACTAAAATAGATCTAAATAAAGCGTTTTTTATTTAAATCGAAAAAATCTGATTTAAATCAAAAAAATCGGATTTTTTTGATTTATTGGAAAAAAATCAAAAAAATCTGCAACCCTGCTATAGGGGACTGCTAGCTTTTATAAACCTAGCAGTCCCTTAGTTTTCTTTGATTTTCTTAAAAATTAAAGGAGCACCTAATTTTTAATTAGAGGTCCTAATTAGCACCTAAAAAGCACCTAATTATTATATAGTTCCCAAAGTTTTTCTCCACCCTGGGACTGCTAGGTTTATAGACCTGTACACGGTAGCTTATGCCACTTTGAGAATTTTATTACAAATTAAAAGTGCTTTAGGCTTAAAGAGCTTCAAGCACATTTAAAGAACTTCAAGCACATTTAAAGGGCTTCAAAGCACTTTTTAAGGCACCCCAAGAACTTTTGATGTGCTTGAAGCACTTTCCAAATCACTTTGAGAGCTTTGTGCTTGCCAAGCCTAAAGCACATTGGGGGCTTTGAGCTTGTGAAGCACTTTTGAAATTAAAAAGGAATTTGTGCTTGAAATTGAAAGCACTTCGATAAAGGGCTTAGGGCTTATTGCTTCAAGCCCTTTTACTGAGGGCTTTGCCCAGCTCTGTTCGCACGGTGTGCAAAAAACTCTATTTTCAGAGGTTGCCTAGCGTGCGAAAAACTTCATTTTCAGAAGCAGTCGTAGGAAAAGATATTTAAAAGAAAATATGGATATTAATGTCCATATCCATATTTTCTTTTATGAAAAGCTTTTTCTGCTAATCGAAAAAATTTAACATATTTTAACTTATCTACCTCTATTGAATGAATACAACGATTTCCTCCTACAGAACATAGCTTCAAACAGTACTGGAAATTATGAGTTATAGGCACTACCAAACTACATCGTTTGGGGAACCTCACTTGACTTTAAGGGGGTAAAACTAATAATTGCGGTTTTTTTGCACACCTAGGTGTAGAACAGTGTAGGTGAAGAGTGATGAGGGAAATTTGCTGATAAAGATCTGTTAATTTGCATATGGAATCAAAATCAAGGATTTTGCATTATGAAAGAATTATAGAATTATGGAGTAGAAACTTCTTAAGTTGGTTTGCCCATTTTTAGCTCAAAAATTTAAACATTTCAATAAAATATATCTTAAGATTAGACTGTATAGATGTTCTTAGAGGTACCTATTGAGAAAATCCAATTTAGATTTACCTCTTTTTATTTGTTTCTCTATTGCAATAGACCTCTAATTCGAAAACAAATAGAGCTTCTTGTGAAACATGAAACTGTAGATTGTAGATTGTAGTTTGAATTTGAACTACTTTAGAGGGATTTTCTACCGGAATGAAATTTGTTGTGCTGCTAACCTTCGCCAAGCAGTCAAGAATATGGTTATAAGTATTATAAACAATAAAAATCAAGATTTTTATATTCTCTATAAATGATTTGTAATACGGTTTCTTCTACATTATTATGTGATTCATTTGCATACCCGTTTATAGTTTATATTGCTATTTTTAAAATCATAGAAAAAAATCGGCAAAAAAAATTATGGACAAACTGCATTTTTAATAATTAATTGGTAACTCACCTCGTCTGTAGTCATTTTCAGTTAATAAAGCAAACTACTTTTAACTACAGATTATGTATTTAATTAATCAATTAATTAACTTAACTTTTCTAAATTTCAAATTCAAAATTCTTTGTTGATGATTCTCCAGCTGATTTTTTGGAGGAATATTTAGTTTCACCTTTTGAGGTAGATGGCGCATATTATTCTACAGACTCTTTATGTGTAATTTACTTATATTCATGCTTGTAATAACGTATATTCATGCTTATATTCAGTCATTATGGTAAATTATTATAATATAATGCTAAAAACTCAATTAATAATTCAACTAACATTACAAAAAAAAATTACTCAAATAACGGTACTTATTCCTAGAGGGCGCTGTTCAAAGTGCAATAATCGAAATCTTTAGTGACATCTGTCATTTTTGTGAAGTTTCTTTCCAATACTTGTGTCAAAATTTTGTAGGTACGTTTTGAATTTTCATTTCTATTTTCCACGAAAATCCGGCTCATCTTCAATGGAAAACCATAAATTAGTGCCCCAATAAGTTCCTCAAACCCTCTACTGTGATATTGTGTGCATATTTTTAGTTAATTTGTAAAAAACTTGAAATAAGGTTAGATTTACAAAAAGTGTAAATAACTAAATTTTTCCAGGTTTCCACGATGGGAGCTTACAAATACATCCAGGAGCTCTACAGGAAGAAACAGAGCGATGTTCTCAGATTTTTATTGAGAGTCCGTGTATGGCAATATCGCCAGTTGACCAAACTTCATAGGGCTCCTAGACCGAGTCGTCCTGACAAGGCCAGAAGATTGGGGTACAGGGCCAAACAAGGTAAGAATTTTCATCCTAAAATATTCCAAGCACTGTCGATCAGTTTGCAATTAATTCAACCATAATAGCCTAAAACTTTTGCAACAGTGCAAAATAATTGTACATTGGCCAGCATGTTTTTGACCTGTTTTTGTTGAAAACTATCTAGAACTATGCAACATTTTTTTGATTTCAAACTAAAATTACTTGAATGGACAATATAAGATATTTTTTTAAGGTTTTGTTATCTTCCGTATCCGTGTACGTCGTGGTGGTCGCAAACGTCCAGTACCAAAAGGTGCCACTTATGGTAAACCCAAAAGTCATGGAGTTAACCAATTGAAACCTGTCCGCAACCTCCAGTCACTTGCTGAAGTAATATCAATACAATTTAATTATTTTTCTTTATTAACAGCTATTTTTCAATTAGGAACGTGTAGGAAGAAGATGTGGTGGATTAAGAGTGCTCAACTCTTACTGGGTAGCTCAAGATTCTTCTTACAAATACTTTGAAATCATCCTCATTGATCCTTCACACAATGTAAGTAATTTTGGTTTTAAATCCCAAAGCACTGCAGATCAGTTTGTAATTAGTTCCAATAATTATTTGACTTTTGCAGCAGTGCAAAATTATTCTAAGCATTGGCCAGCATGTTTTTGACCTCACTTGTTAAAAACTATCTAGAACTCTGCTACACTATTAATTGTTCTAATAGCATAATTTATTAATGATCATTATTATTAGGCAATTAGAAGAGATCCCAAAATCAACTGGATTGTCAATGCTGTTCACAAACATCGTGAACTCAGAGGAAAGACTTCTGCTGGCAGATCATCTCGTGGATTGGGCAAAGGTCACAGATACTCTCAGACCAAGGGAGGTTCCAGAAGGGCCGCCTGGCTCAGAAGGAACTCATTGCAATTGCGCAGAAAGCGTTAAGTGTTTTGTATTTAATTTGATTTTAAGGATTAAAAAATGACTGGAATTGAGTTGGTTTTTATTTCTCTCTAATAATATAAAATTGTATAATTTACTACTACAAATCATTGAAGAAAATATCATGATTGTGGCTTAAAGAATCTTCTACATCTTTCATTGAAGACCTTCATTGATCTTTCCTTGATAAGATCTTCTACTGAAAGTTCTACTTGGAGCATTCTCAACTAAAAAAACCATAATTTAATAATCTATTATGGAATGTGTATAATACCTAATTACTTTTGTCTGCTCAGTTCTTAAAGATTTGGACAATTGTAAATCATCAGCCTTAATTTCTCTTTCGTTTTTAAGTCTCATAACGTTAGTGCTAGTAAGAGAAATGCAATTTTTAATAAGATGCTCTCTCTTCTGGTGTCCCTGGTGGATTTGTTCGTAAATCGAATGGCAAGCTGCGTTTTCGTTGGCGTGAAACGAATCCGTTGGAATCGCTGAATTTATTGTGTTTACGATAATATCGTCGGTTTTACGCATAGTCTTCAAGGCTTCCTGGAAAATTGTGTTTTAAATGGGAATTTTTCAGTGTAAATTGAATAAGTTTACCTGAAATTCGCTAAAGTCTGGACACTCCATTATTGCAGCTGGCATTGTTTTGGTTTACAGGAACTTTTCCATAGAATTTAAGGTACAAAAACTAACTTTTTATCAAAATTTTCCACATAACCTGAAAAAATTTAAAGGGCACGTAACATGTCAAATTAGTCAAAACAAGTATGGTGCCCCCTATCGAAAACCTCAAAACTGACAATAATATTACAGGAAACTGTAAAAATATATACATACCACTGTTAAGTTTCCTGACAAAATGCCGAAATGTACCCGAACCACCCCGAACGATGAGTGATGTCGGTAATAGGGATGCCGCGATACTCAAAAAATATCGATATTGGTTTCAGATCATTTTTTTTCACCCGATCCCTCTTGATATCGGCTTCCAAAGTATCGATACCTAAAATATCGACGATCTGAAATCAATGCCTCTTCTACTCTAGGTTGTTTGAGAGGGGTAGGTTGTCTGAAACTTTATAACTTCATCTGAGGTGCTTTTCAGTGACCCATTTGAGTTACTCCTGAGCAGCTCAGGAGTGCTCCACAATTACTTTGCGGGTTCCAGTGCTTAGAGTGTCGTACACTTGAACTACTCATTTCTGTTATCCCCTGCCCCCTCGTGACCAACCATTATTTCGGTGTTCCATGCTCCCATTGCTCCTGAAGTCCGAAATGGTGGGGGTTAAGACGAGAACGTTCCAGTGTTGCTTATGTCAAACAGTTCAAGAGCGTCACACTCCAGGAGCATGATACTCTAACAATTTAGGCACTGGAAAGCAGCTTTGGAGTGCCTCAACCATTGAACTAAACAAACACTCTGGAACGGGCGCACTGCTTTATGCTAGTGTGCCGAATTTTGATACATGCAACCCAGCAATACAGAGGGACTGTCTCGCTCGCACTCATTGCGATTAACGTAAACGAAAGAAGAGTTTCTTCATCTTCCTAACCTCAATGATCCAAACACTTCAAACCTTTGCTTCAAACAGCTGTCCTCAAAAGCTGGGTTCGGCTATTCAGCGCGGAGTTGGAGTGGAGTGAACAGAGCTAATGGAGTCACTCCTAATACGGTAAAAAAGCAATACCCGAACCTTAACCTGCACGACTGGGGTGCGAATGGAGTCACTCAAAGTGCACGGAGTGAGCAAGCCGAACTCACCTAATATAGCCGCCATATTGCAGAGAGATGCAACTCCCTCTTATTTGTTGTCCTTTCTGTCACAAACCCTTGCGTAGAAATATTATGCAGCCACCATTCCAGTGTGTTTGTCACGTTGGTTTAGTTCATTGGCCTCAACATAATGCAAACCTCCATAAGGCACCCCGTTATCAAGTTACCCATTAGAACCCAAGGATGATACATATTACTACTATACAGGATAGTCTATTCTCATAAGACCTGTGTGGAACAAATCCCCACTCCTCCCTTTCCACGACAAATCCCCAGTTGTGACGCAGGCAGCATGTCATTTCTCGCCTTGACGTAGGCTTTTTAAACTGTTGACGACAAAGCCAGGGACACATCTGTCATGCATTCTTCCGATCCGACTCCGATCATATAATCAAGGTCCTTATTCTTTTATTGGAACAGGGGAGCAGCGGAACACTACTTCTCCTGGGAACGCTGCCCCTCTGTTCCAAGAATAAGGACCCTGATTGTATGATCGGAAGAATGCATGATAGATATGTGATCCGGGCTTAAGTTATAACGTCGGAAATTACCAGGCAACCTATCAACCAAGGTTCCTACCTTAGAGCAGGTAAAGCGCTGTCCTACGGACATAAGGAGTAGGAACGCGCCATTCTGCTTATGAAACTAAAGTGAAGCCAAGTTTTTGGCAGGTGTTTGGCACCAAAATACAGGTAGAGCATTGAATTGCCATAACCGCCATTTTTTGTGGGCCAAGAGACCTGGAAAAAAACGGCTTCATTTTCCAAATCCAGGTTACTACTCCTTTACCTTTACCTGCTCTAAGGTTCCTACACTCTAGTAGAGTGTAGGAACGTTCTCTACTCTACTAGGAATGATGTCCGTCAGCGACGCGTCAAAATATAAATGTCAACCATGATAAACGTCAATCTCAAACATACAAAAATGGCATTTCCAGGGGATTACATTTAACTCCTTTTGACTTCCGACCTGTGCACTAAAAATTTTACACACATCTACACTTTGATGAGCCTGAAAAGATTGAGGTAGAAAAACTATATTGGTAATTTTTTTATTCTAATGGGGAAGGTAAAGGTGGTTGTCAGGAACAGGGTGACACTAGTGGCGTACACTCGAACGACCTACGAATGAAGATTTATACGATTATTCCACTCATGTGTTAGAAATCCCATAAGACAAGTGACGATTTTCAGAATTACAGCGAAAATTCTCTTTTCCATTTGTTTAACTAGAGAGAATTACAGCGATAATTCTCCCATGTTATTGTATACATGGTTGTCATGCTAATTTTTGATACAAACAAACGGTTCCTGATAGCAACCATTTATTTGTATTGGTTGTTAAGATGTTCAAATCATTTATTACATATTTATTTCCATATTTTTTGCATTCTCATACGTGAAATAATCCTCTAAATACTACTTGAGCTTCAAAATTACCGATAATTTTTCACGATTGCGTGTTTTCTCTGCAAATTTCACTCGTCCTACGGACTAGTACCGACTCGTGAAATTATAGAAAACACGCAATCGTGAAAAATTATCGGTAATTTTGAAGCTCTCGTGGTATTATCCCCGATTATTCCACTCATGTATTAGAAATCCCATAAGACAAGTGACGATTTTCAGAATTACAGCGAAAATTCTCTTTTCCATTTGTTTAACTAGAAAGAATTACAGCGATAATTCTCCCATGTTATTGTATACATGGTTGTTATGCTAATTTTTGACACAAACAAACGGTTCCTGATAGCAACCATTTATTTGTACCTATTGATTGTTAAGATGTTCAAATCGTTTAATACATATTTATTTCCATATTTTTTTGCATTCTCATACGTGAAATAATCCTCTAAATACCACTTGAGCTTTAAAATGAACCAGATAATTTTTCACTCATGCGTGTTTTCTCTGCGAATTCACTCGTCCTACGGACTCGTGAAATTATAGAAAACACGCAATCGTGAAAAATTATCGGTAATTTTGAAGCTCTCGTGGTATTATCCCCGAAAATATACAAAATAATATATATACAGGGTGAGTTACTAAGCGCGCGGTGGTCCATATCTCCTATACTAATGGAGAGTGGAGAAAAAACTAAATCAAAACTTGTAGATAAACATGAGTACTACATTCCTAAATTATTTTCCATTATACTGGGTGGCCCAATAACTAGTAGTGACACAAAGTTATGTTTTTTTAAATGACTCCCCCTATTATATTATGACATTTCTGGATTCTGCGGAAAATTCTAGACATATTTCATGTACAATGTCATATACCTATTTTCAACTGTTTCGGAAATATTGACAGTTGAAAACTAACTTTTTTGCATATTTGACAGACTGTAAAACCTGAACGGTTAATTTTACAAGAAAACGGATTTTACATTCCTATCTTAGTTTTTCATAAAATACCATTTGGCACCAATCTTGAATTTAATCCATGAATAAAAATTCCGCTTAAATTATTAATCTTCGGTTAAATCCAAAGTTGGCGTCAAATAATAGCTTATGAAAATCTAAAGATAGGAATGTAAAATCCGTTTTCCTCTAAAATTAACCGCTTATAGGTTTCACGGTCTATCAAAGATGCAAAAAAGTCAGTTTTCAACTGTCAATATTTCTGAAACAGTTGAAGATAGGTATATGACATTATGCGTGAAATATGTCTAGAATTTTCCGCAGATTCCAGAAATAATATAATATACATGGAGAGTTATTTTAAAAAACATAACTTTGTATAACCTGCTATACTGGAAAATAATTTAGAAATGTAGTACTCATGTTTATCTACAAGTTTTGTATTTAGTTTTTTCTCCGATCTCCGGTAGTATAGGAGATATGGACCACCGTGCGCTTAGTAACTCACCCTGTATAATCAAATGACAGTTATTCAAAAACTGTATATTATGGAATTAAATTCATTGATGGGGAAGATTGAGGGGGTTATCAGAAACAGGATGACACCAGTGGCGTACACTCGATCGACCTACGCGTACGAATGGCGATTTATATTAAAATATACAACTATAATCAGATGACAATTATTCAAGACTGTAAAGTCCGTTGAATTTAATCTGATACTCCAAAAGAATGTGAACTGGTGGCTCCCCACATTAGAACATCAATGGTCACCTGACATCACTCCTGTTTTTGCCATAAGCTTCACCCCCTCGCTCCTCATACGGAAATTGTCAGATTAAAAACGATGGACAATACATGGGATTAGATTTATACCTACTAGCGGAAAAGGCTAACGAGGTTGTCAGGAACCAAGGAGAATACACACTCTAAGGAGTGATTATCGGCCTCGTTTTTGGTAATCGCCGCCATATTGGTTTTCAACCATTGCCGACGTCATAACTAAGTCGTCATCATTAAACTGCCTACGTCACGGCGAGAAACGCCATGCTGCTTACGTCACAACTGGTTGTTTGGCCCGGGGGGATTTGTTACATACAGGCCTTATGAGGATAGGCCATCCTATGTAGTAGTAATGTGTATCATCACAGTTGGTCAGGAACAGGGTGACAGCAGTGGCGTACACTCGATGGACCTATGAATTGAGATTTACATGAAATTATACAAAATTATATAATCAGATGACAATTATTCAAAAACTGTACATGGGATTGAATACATACTAAATGAGGAAGATTGAAGGGGTTGTCAGAAACAGGATGACACCAGTGGCGTACACTCGATCGACCTACGAATGCACATTTATTCGAAAATATTTAAAAGCCTGAAATAGAAGAAACATTAATTTAAATTTCTTCACTTTATTTTTCAATTTCTCTATCTTTTATCGAAATCAAGAAAATTCAGGAGCCTGGAATAGAAAAAATATGAATATACTGATGCTGATATCGATACGAATAGAAATACACAGTTATCGATCTAAATAATAAGTATCGATATATTTTATCGATAAGCCTTCCTCTAGAGTCTAGTATTGTAAACACCATAAAAACAAATAGTTATTTACAATATACAATAGGAAAATAAGGCCATGTCTTCAACTAATACAGAAATACTAACAAAATTTGAAAATATCGATCATCTATCACAGGTAAAAGCAAATTCCAATTTTCTATCCTATACAATTATAATTGTTAATAATTTTTGTTTTTAGTATCTCAACAATATAATTAACAATCTCTCGAACGAAACTCTAGAATCCCAAGACCAAGACCTGGAAAAAACTATCAAAAACTATTTCCGACAAAGAGCAACCGATGAAACTCATCCTCTACCAGCAGAACTACCAAATCACATCCAAAAAGCTTTGGAAACTTCATTCAAAATACATCAAAGTACCATTACAAATACCCTAATGAAAGAAAAACTTTCAAATAAGGGACAAAACTTGGTAGAACAGTACGATTGGAAACTGCGCTGGGTTTTGGGTACTTCAAAGTTAGCAAATCAAAGAGTACCATTATGTCAATTGGAGTTGTATTGTTCAAAGAATTTGATTAATTTTGAATGTACTTTTGAACAAGTTGAAGAATTGATTAATGTATTGAATAATGTTAAAAAGGAAATTAAATAATAATAATAAACAAAAAAAACAGCTGATATGTTATTAATTATTAATAATATAAGACATTTTATATACTCAATCATAGATGGCGCCATGGATTAAATATCTGTCATCGACATTCTTGACATTGTAGTGAAGCTAGATTATAAGTAAATTTTTGCGGTAAGAGATGGCGCCACAAACTTTGAGCGTCTTTTTTTGTTTATAAAATAAAATGGTGTTTTGATGAGTAATTTGTTTATGTTTATGAAATAATTTTTGGAAATGGTATTGGAAGGTGTCCCTGGTTGCTCCATTTGATCATCTTGCAGAATGCATTTGAAGGTAAACGATAATTTTTTGTAATATTTATATTTACCTAGCAAATGCGGAAAGTGGTACTTTTCGCATGTGTTAGGTACAAAATTTCACCTATGAGCAACTATATTTTCAAAAAAACAGACTGTTAGTTATTACTACCTAAGTCTACTTTACCACACGCTATACGCAGAGTATCAAAAATACCATTGCGGTAGGTGTATCGAAAACGAAGAGATACGAGGGCTGTTAAACACCTAAGACTGTTTTTCCTACAAACTACCCCGAACTAATAGAAATTTGGCAAAAAACGGAAATATATTTTTAATAAACCTTCGAAAATGGCAACTTTTTTCCAATTTAACCCGCCCTCGTATATCTCTTACCGTTTCAATAGTGGCCCATGTTATTTTAGACACCCTGTATAAAGTACAGTGTACTTTACCGCACAATATGCGGTAAAGTCAGTAAAGTGTTACTTTCTATTTGCAAATAAGTGCAGTGCAGTAAAGTGCACTTTCCACAAGCTTGAAGGTAAATGCAAAAAAAAATCATTATTCCATGACGCAATATATGCCGCAAATTATGAATGAAAATTCAATTCCTGATGACAATTGAGAGCGTTATCTCTCTTTCCAAAAGAACTGTTTATCCACAGAAAATGCGCGCGTTTCAACCAAGAAAATCAATTTCAAAAAAAAAGCCCGGAAACCGCAAACTTAAAACAATAAAAATTGACAATTTAATGTGATTTTCTGGGAATCCTGACCTTTATTTTAATCAAAAGTTCTCGGCCATGTTCTGCTGTGTATTGTTACCCTTGACGACAGGGCGTCCATCGTGACGTCGGCAGGGTTAGCGTGCGTCAGAAGGTCGACGCGCTTACGTCACAGGAAAGCGTCGCGACGCTGTGCGCTGCGTGCGAAGGGTCGATTAATACAGGGCCGGACTTGTGAAGAGTCGAAGGGTTAAGGTTAAGGCTGGAACGATTATATAGGAATTGAGCCAGATACTTATATAGCTAGAAAATTTTAATCTTATGGGTATTTTTACAACTTATATACCTACGTAGGAATTTAGTAGTGTTTACAGTTTCTCTTATTAATTCTTTTCAAATCTTTGAAAGTCGGTTAATAAATTATTTTACGAATTTTAAAAAATTATAAACTTCATTCAGACATACATACTTATAAAAAACTCATTTGCATTTTATTACTATTGGGCCAAAAACCAGCAGTATTTACACAATTCCTTATTAGCAAAAAGAAAAAAATCTTTACAAACAAAAATCAAATATGTATGTACTAATACGGTCCTGAAGAGGGCCTGACATGAATTATTTTTTGCTCCAGTATAAAGGGGTATAAGCACGTGGCCGAACAAAACATTGAAAGAGGCTAGTGCCCTAAAACTAAGGGAGAATCCACCTAAGGTTCGTTTCACCAGGGTTCATACTTGACCTTGAAACTTGAAAAAAAAGGGTTGTCGTAGATTAATTTATATGACACATTCAATTTTTTTGACAAATTAAAATGAATGACTTCTGGTTTAGGAACCGACGAACATTTTTGACGTCATTGATTTGTTTCAGTCAATTTTTATTTGTTAAACAAGGAAGGTGAATGCTGGTGGCAAGTACAAACCTTGGCGAAACAAACTTTAGCTAATTTTGTACACCAAAAATTCTAAAATTCTAAAAAATGCTAATTTTCATGTTATTATTGTCCCAAAAAAATTCTAAAAATTCTAAAAAATTTCAAAAATCCCAACAAATTGGGCGGGCTCTTGAGCATGCGCAATAGATAAAAATTCTAAATTATTTCTAAGAAATTCTAGTTCAATTCTAAAAAATACTGAATAATTCTAGAAATTGCTAGAAAATACTAAAAAATGCAAAAAAATACTGATAATTCTGAAAAATTATGAGAAATTCTAAAAATTCTAGCAGTTTGTACAGGGTGATCTATTATAAATGTCAACCCCTGCTAACTTTAGCCGCTTTCCAGCTGTGTGCTTCAAGCACGGTGCAGCACAGTGTTCTGTGTTTGAAACGCAAAAGTTAGCAGCTCTCGAAGCGCAGTACGGCTGGAACACGAACACGAGCCTGAAGCATTTGGAAGCCTGGAAAGCGGCTTTTATAATTTGACGTTTTTGACGGAAGTGTCAAATACAAATGTTTTAAGAAATTGTCAAAACTCTTTAACTAAGTTAGTTTTAGGCAAACAGGGTGCGTCAAAAAAGTGCATCAGTGTGAAGTTATATTTTTCAAAATGGAACACCCTGTATATTGTGTGCTTATTTGTTAGTCCCCTTTAACCTGATTTCAACGATATAGGGTTTGATATGTTTATCTCTCGGTTTATCTTCAATAGTTATAGGGAAAAACGCGAAAATCCCTTGCTAGGTGTCTCATGTTATTTTTTCAAAAATAATAATAATAACTTAGATACCTGAATTTATAATAACATTTCACCTTGTATATTAATGAATAAAATTTGACCAATAAACTGTTCATAAAAAAAAATTCTCTAAAGCTTAAGGGGCAAATTATGGACTGACTGGTAAACGTCTGGTTGTTACCTAGCAGGTACTTTCTATGTACTAGAGCATAAAAAGTACCTACTAGGTTATAACCAGACACTTACCAGTTGGTCCATAATTTGGCCCTAAATGGTATAATTTTTCTTTTTTCAATATGAAACCTTGAAAGGGGTTTTCATGTTTTTTTCTATAAATATCGAAGATAAACATACCTATCAAATCGTATATCGTTGAAATCAGTTTAAAAGGGACTAACAAATAAGCGCACAATATGCAGGGTGTTCCATTTAAAAAAATATAATTTCACACTGCTACACTTTTTTGACACACCCTGTATGTCTAAAACTGACTTAGTTAAAAACTTTCGACAATTTATTGAAACTTTTGTATTTGACACTTTTGTCAAAAATGTCAAATGAAGGGGGTGACATTTATAATAGATCACCCGCTATTTTTCAAAAATTCTAAAAATTCAAAAAAAAAAATTCCAAAAATCCCTACAGTGCGCAGATTCTTGAGCATGCGCAATAGGTGAAAATTCTAAACTATTTCAAAAAAATTCTAATTCAATTCTTAAAAATACTAAAAAAATTTAAATAATTCCAAAAAATGCTAGAAAATACTAGAAAATGCTAAAAAATACTGATAATTCTAAGAAATTCTAAAAAATTCTATCAGTTTGTACACCAAAATTCTAAGGTTTCCCCCTCGTCTAAAACTGTACTCTTGTTAAATTCACATTCAATAATTCCAATAACTTCAATGCGTTTTTCCAATAATTTCGGCCGAGATTTCGGCCTATAAACATCATAAAGTGTGTTTTTTTTTTAAAGATAAAAGTCAAAATGACATTATGTTGGCAATACAATGTAAAATTGTCAATGCTTTCAAATTTTTTATGTAGAAAAGTTACTAAATTTTTGACTTGGGGAATTATCTTTAAAAAAAAAAACAGATTTTAGTTATTAGCAAGTTTACTGTGGATTTCTGACTGTACATTTGCAACTGATTTTTCGATCTTACAACTTAGAATGAGGCCCCCCCATCTCTCGTGAGCCTGCCCATTATTAACCCATAAGGGCCATAAGTATCCAAGAGGCAGATGGCTTATTGACTTTTTTATTGTCAATTTTGCGAAAAAAAGTTATTCTTCATAAAAGTTTCTGCTTCTTGAAAAAATAGTATTAAACTATTGAAACTTGTAATAACATGTACAGAAAATAGAAAAACATACAGGGTTTTTTGGTAAAAGTAGAAAAAAAATCGTACGTCACTATTTTTTTAAACCTTTGATATTTTTTTCAGATTAAGCAAGTCATGTTACAGTCAAAAAATACCTTTCATTATCACAAACAAACCTGCCAAATTTGAAAAAAAAAAATTGTAAAAGAGATGCTAAAAAAACGATTTCTTCTAAAACTTTGACACCCTGTATCTCAGAAACTACGCATTTCCGGACACATGATTATGGGAACTTTTTTACTTAAAATATTGTAAGGAATCACATCTCTAACATCCTGTATATTTTTCCATTTTTTGACCACCCTGTACATGCTATTTCAAGTTTTAATAGTTTAATATTATGTTTTCAAGAAGCAGAAACTTTTATGAAAAATAACTTTTTTTCGTAAAATTGATAATAAAAAAGTTTCCCATATGCTGCGAACTTAAGTGGACACACTGTATATCGTTGGATAGACTTTACCTATCAATATATCAATCGAAATTTTGTTTATTTTAATATTTTTATTCTAGAACCTGTGGAAGTTAAATTGGGTGTTTTTCAGTAATTTTTTGCTCTATAGGTGGATATCAGTTGTTTACATAAAATAAAACACAATATAACAAAAAAGCCCTTATGTTTATGTATTGGGAATATTAGGATAAATTTATAAGACCCTTTATCTATTTTTGAAAACACTCTGCAAAATGATTTTTCATAGTTTAGTAAACTGGAAAGCCGTGCTGGTGAATTATTGGAAGTCTGTCTTAAATTCTAGAGAAAAGGTCTTAGAAAAAAGGTATGTAAAAACACTTTGGACAAGTTATACAGTAATACATAATTGAAAATTGTTTTCAATTGAATTGAAAACTTTAAACAGACCATATAAACCTTACCAATATATATCTACAGAGAATTTCTATTTTTATATTATCCACGTTCGTTTTGTTACACAATT